CCCATTCTACATGTCGCGCTCACTCTCACTCCAACGTCACTCACGCCCATTCAACACACTCACTCCCACTCCCACTCCAACACGTCACGCTCACGCCATTCAACACGTCATGCTCACTCCCACTCCAACATGTCACACTCACGCCCATTCAACACGTCACGCTCATGCCCATTCAACACACTCACTCCCATTCAACACGTCACACTCACGCCATTCAACATGTCACGCTCACGCCCACTCCAACACGTCACACTTACGCCCATTCAACACGTCACGCACTCCCACTCCAACACGTCACACTCACATCCATTCAACACGTCACGCACTCCCACTACAACACGTCACACTCACGCCCATTCAACACGTCATGCACTCCCACTCCAACACATCACACTCATGCCATTCAACACGTCACGCTCACGCCCACTCCAACATGTCACACTCACACCCATTCAACACGTCACGCTCACGCCCACTCCAACATGTCACACTCACACCCATTCAACACGTCACACTCACGCCCATTCAACACGTCACGCTCACTCCCACTCCAACACGTCACGCTCACGCCCACTCCAACACGTCACTCACGCCCCCTCCAACACGTCACACTCATGCCCATCCAACACGTCACGCTCACGCCCACTCCAACACGTCACACTCACGCCCATTCAACACGTCACACTCATTCCCACTCCAACATGTCACTCACACCCATTCAACACGTCACACTCACTCCCACTCCAACATGTCACATTCACTCCCACTCCAACGCGTCACATTCACTCCCATTCAACACGTCACGCTCACGCCCATTCTACATGTCACACTCACTCACACTCACATCCATTCTCACAGACTATCAGGTACATCTGTTCCCACACACAGTCACTCATGCCCATTCTCATACAATGTCACACTCATGTCCATTCACAGACTGCCACAATCATTCCCATTTCCAGCACCTCACACCTACATGCACATTCACGCTCACACCTACTCCCCCACACCAACATACTCATATTCACACTCACACCTACTCCCCCACACCAACATACTCATATTCATGCTCACACCTACTCCCCCACACTAACATTCACATTCACACCTACTCCCCCACACCAACATACTCATATTCACACTCACACCTACTCCCCCCACCAACACACTCATTCACACTCAAACCTACTCCCCCACACTAACATGCTCACTCACACCTATTCCTCCACACCAACATGCTCACACTCACATCACACCTACTCCCCCACACCAACACACTCATTCACACTCACACCTACTCCCCCACACCAACACACTAATTCACACTGACACCTACTCCCCCATACCAACATGCTTACACTCACATCTACTCCCTAACACCAACACACTCACATCTACTCCCCAACACCAACACACTCACACCCAGTCCCACACCATCACGCTCACGTCCCTCTCTCATCAGTGTCTCCAGTTGTTTATTAAATAGCATTCTCGGTGGCAGGTACTTTCTCTGGCTTTCAAATTGGGCAGAGCTGTGGCCTACCCTCTGCGTGAGGAAAGCGGGCTCAGGGTGGAAAGGCTGGCCTGGGGAGGTTGGTCTTCTAATAAGGTTCACTGAAGAACCCCACACTTTTGGGGAGAATTTGTAGGATGGGAAAAGGGCTAGGTCAGGAGGGTCTGCAGGAGGGTGTGGGGAGGGGGATTCCTGCTGAGTTGAGGGTCTACCATGGCATGGGGGCAAGGTCGTCCTTGGCAGCTCAGCACTCAGGGGCAACCTGAACAAGATGTTGCCTGTGTCAGTGGTCTTAGCATGAGCAGCCCTGCATGGGAAAGCAGATGGCTGTAGCCCAGAGTGGCTGTTCCCTGGTACAGATTGGCCACCCATCATGGGTCAGCCATGCTGGGCCTTTGGTTGCATGGAACTATCTGGGAGCTGGCTGCTCAGGTGTGGTTCTTGCCAAGGGGGGAGCACCAGAGTAGGCAGGTTAAGGAGCACTTGGGGCTCACGCACTGTCTGTGTTTCCCCTGGAAGTCACTCTCCCTGGAGATAGGAAGGGGAAGGCAGGAGGAGGGGAGGGCACAGGCCAAGCTTTCCAGAGGAGTGGGCAGTTCACCTGGGTTCAAGGCTAAGTGTGCAGGCAGGGAGCAGAGGCCCAGAGGCTGGAGGTGGCAGAAGGACCAGGCAGGAGCCCTCACTGCTGGAGTCTGTGTGCCTAGAGAAGATGCTGGGCTGCAGGGAGACATGGGGTGCCTCTAAGACGTGGGGTTCCTTCAGTTCCGTGTTTAGTCCCCTCTGCGAGGGCGTGATGAACACTGCTGGTGCCACACCTAGCTCTCCTTCATTGAGCACCCAGCTGGCCCCTTCTCCAGAGAACTGCCCTTGGCTGAATGGAACAGCCTTGCCCCGGGGCAGCACTCGCCCAGGGACAGTCTGCAGCCAATGGCTGACTGGCATGAAGTTCAGAAGGCCAGCTCTCTAATAATGTCAAGGTGGTACCAAATATGCAGTGCCGCTCCTGCTCCAGGGCTCCCCATGGGCTCGGGTTGAAGCAGGTCTCTAGCTGAGACTACACCCTTCCCAGTTTCTTCCACTCCTGTCCTGCTGCCCTCCCATCATATCTCATGAGAACACTTCTTCAAGGTCTCAACGTCTCATGAAGTGTACCCAGATCCCTGCCTCTGGTTCCAGACACACAGAACTTTTCAGAGGTCAATGGAAACATTGGGGTGGGGGTGGGGGAGTGGCCTCATGAGGCCCCACCTGGCTCTGCAGCCATATCCTGGATATACCAATGCCCAGTGCCTAAGAGGAGCTGTGCACAGAGATGGCAGTGGCTCACACAGGCACAAATCTCTCCCTGGCCCTTTCCCAACCACGCTGCTGTACCTGCTCCCAAGTGTCGCCAGGGCAGAGGCAGGATGGGTGGGACAAGGGAGAACTGACCTGCATGTGCTGATGCCACACTCCCCACTGGGGTAACTGCTTTCCCAATCTCCACTGCCTGTGGGGTTGGACGGGCCAGGCGAGCGGGACCCCGAACCACTGGGGAACTCAGAGATGTGTGGGAAGTCCTGCAAAGGGGAGGAGGAAATGGGTAAACAGGAGAGGCAAAGGGGGGGGACTGTCTGTAGTAGGACAGGCAAAGGGGTGGACTGTCTGGTGGGACAGGCAAAGGGCCGACTGTCTCTGGCAGAAACATGGGGGCAGGGCCCCTGTGTGCCTGAGAGTGTTCACACTCTAAAGAGACACTTCCTCTGGGTACGAAATCCCCATTGTGTCTATGCCTGGAATAAAGCTTCCTTTCTCTAGTAGAGCACCTGTTGAAAGGTGCTGTCTTAGCCACATCTGAAGGTGAAGGACTTTGTCTTTGGGATTTTTTTCACCCCCTCTGGGGCTCAGTTTCTCAATCTGGATTACTGGATTGACCGCATGACCCTCAGAGCCGTGTAACAATCTCTGTGGAACAATTATGGAGGTCGGTACTCCAAAACTCTGAGGAGAGCTATCCCATGGCTAAGGGATAAGCCATAGCAGCCCCAGTTTCTCCGGTCAGGGAGCAGAAGTGGGCAGAAAATAAAAGAATGTGGGCCTGAAATGTCCTCAGAAAATATCTGGCAAATTGGCACCAGTTCGCTACGTTCCAGGTAAGGTGTATTAGACCCAATTTGGAGAGGTGGTCACTTAGGCTCAGGAAGGTAATGTGCCTAGGCTAAGGTTGCATAGCTAGTGCATTGACAGGGCCAGGATTTGAAGGGCCCATTCCCACCCTGCCCTGCTTACCTGTGGCCCTGAAGGTGAAGGGCTCATAGCCAGCTGCACCTGGAGTGCCATGGGGGTGGGCAGGACAGGAGGCTGGGGGGCTGGGGACATGCTAACAGGGGGGCTGAGGAGGGCACCCTGTGCATGTGGGGGCAGTGGCAACTGTTGGTGCAGAGGGGGACTGAGCGGGAAAGTGGGTGGTGGGGGTGGGGAGGATGCACTGAGGCCAGGCAGCAGTGACTTGGAGCCCAGCGTCCGGGCAAGGCTGGCAGGCGAGGCCCCAGTACGGAAGGCCTGCAGGTCTGACGGCGTCAGGAAGGAGGCCAGGCTTGGCATGGCGTACATGGGCTGCTTGGGTGGGAGCATTTTGGCCGGCGGATTTGCCTGAGTGCTCTTGGTCTCGGCCTGGTCCGGGGAACTCTGGAAGGAAGCAGAACCCAGTGATTCTGGAGAAGAGGAGGGAGCCAGACTGGGCTCATGAGAGCAGTTGGTCCTGCAACCCACTGACATGACCTGTGGCGGGCTCTCTGGCCCCCTGGGGGAGAACTGTGGGCTCACCAGAGATCATGCAAGGCTCTTAGTACACCTGGATGGTGGTGCAGATGATTAATGTGCTCACAGTTCACCAAAGGTTGTCAGTTCAAGCCCTCCAAGAAGTGCCTCGGAAGGATGGTGATCACTTCTAAAAAAAAATCTGCCCTCGAAAGTTGTGTCTATGGGACTACTAGACCACCCAAAGCACAGCCTCCTCTAACCTGGGCTAGAAGAATTAGACTGTACCTGGCTGCCGATACCAGCTGTTCTGATAAGGGACACGACAGAAGGCACCCAAAGAAATGGGAACACAACTCAAATTCCCAAAAAGGGTCAGACCTGGGCCAACAGACATCAGAGAATCACCAAGATTATTGCCCCCAAATAATCTTTGAACTTGGATTTGAAGCTACTTCTGTGGGTCACCTTTCTTCCAAATAATAGAAGGGTTTATACAATGAGCAGCGCCACCTTCGAGGAATGTGCTTCCTTCAACAATGACCTATCTGAGGTCAAATCGTCAGCATTTGCCCAGAGAGAAGATGACACGGCAGGGAGACGAAGGGAAGCGAAGAACGAACAGAATAGAAGTAATGAACGGTGACACGTCGCGAACCCTGCCACCAGCGGCATGGGACGATTTGCGTTAAAATTTTGTGCAACAGAAACCTCATTTGCTGGGTAGAGTCAAAAAAATAATCCACGGGGCTTGGTTCTACTCTGACACACAATGCAGTGGCCAGGAGCTGGAATCCACTCGATGACAACAGCTTGGTTGGTTGGTGTCGTAGTTTCTAGTGAGGTTTTATCGGAAAGACCACGAGTGGCTAGTATTTGTCAACCACGAGTCTATCATCTTGCAGGGGAGGAGGCTGGAAGTCTGAATTCTGGGATGCAGTCTAGAAAAAGGCTTTCTCTGTGGGCTCTAGAGGAAGGTCCTTGTTTCCTTTCACTGTCCTTGGGGCTGATATTCTTTGAAAATCCCTGTGTGTGTGTCTGGACATAATCGGCCCCCTGGGTCTAGGAGGTTCTTACTCTGGATGCAAAGGGCTTGGCCTGCTTTCAGCTCTTCTTTCTTGATGGTACTGAGGGCCCTGTCTCGCGGCTTGTTTCTCTTTCTTTTCATCTTGTAAGGTATAAAGTAAGACAGGCCAAACTTCCCTTACATTGGATCAGGGCTGTAACCTGAATAAGGGTGCTGCATCCCCCCTTAATCCCATTACAATGGATTGATTGATCACATCAGCTCACATAATTGGGACGATCACATCATTTCATGGTGATGAAGCATTAGAATGACTGCATTATTATATGGTTGCCAAATGACATCATTATAAAATGGCCAGGTTAACACCTGTTTTTGGTGGGGACACAATGGGCAATTGGCATGTTCGCTTGACTCTGACCTCCCAGCCACCTCTGCTTTAATCCCTGGGGGCTCTCCCCCCATGGGGATTCTTTGCTTCCCCCCGGCCCCGGGGGCCAGCGTCATAGTTGAATGAAACTTGTCTCCTGCTGCTCTCCAGCCTCTCTGCTTTTGCACACGCTGCTCTTGCTACTTGGAACACCCTCAATGCTTAATTCCTTACGTGGCTTAGCCCAGATGTCACCTCCTTTGCAGCAGCCCCAGGACAACCCTCTGGTCTCCACACCCATGGCCACACCCAGCACCCAAATTCTCTACTGTTCACAGAGGAGAAAGGTAGTGTTTTGGGGTAAAAGCCAAATTGGAAGACCAACAAACTCGGGTTGCATCCTACACATAAGCTGGGTAATTTCAGGCAAGCGAAGTAAGACCCGAAAACCGGATCTGAATCCTATACTTGATGAGCTGAATAATTTCAGGTCAGTTCCTTGACCCCTTTGAGGGCTGGGTTCTTGTTAGAAGAATTCAATTAGGTGAGGTTCACGACAAGTGCCCAGCATGAGCCTGGCACACATGAGTGCGGTAGAGAAGTGACGGTGTGGCCTTTACGAGACTGGTATTGGTCAGCAAAACAGGTACCAGGGGATGAAATGCTGCCTGGTCCAGAGCCATCCGCATGGTGGGCTGTGGACTGGACCACTGTGATCCACAGAGTTCTCAAGGCTGATTTCTGGGAGTGGATCACCAGGCCGCTCTCTTTCTAGTCCATCTGAACTCGGAAGCTCTGCTGAAACCTGCTCAGGGCCGCAGCAACACACAATCTACCACCGGCAGATGTGGCGGCTGCAAGTAGGATACCTTTGTCGGGGACTGAACTTGGGTCTCCCAATTGCGAAGCGAGAATTTTACCACTGAATCATCACCGCCCCTACTGCTGGCCACTCCTGTGGGCCCTCATTCCTGCTCCATCTCTGCAGAGGCTCCCTTCTTGTTTTAATTAATATAATAATTTTATTGGGGGCTCTTACCGCTCCTATAACAATCGGTACGTCAATTGTATCAAATACATTTGTACATATGTTACCATCCTCATTTTCAAAACATTTCCTTTCTGTTTGAGCCCTTGGTATCAGCTCCTCTTTCTACCCACCCCTCCCACCCTAATGAACTGCTGATAAATTATAAATTATTATTATTTTCATATCTTACACCATCCACTGTCTCCCTTCACCCACGTTTCTGTTGATTGTTCCCCTGGGAGTGGGGTTATACATCGATCATGATAGTTGGTTCCCCATTTCTCCCCCCACCTTCCCCCTACCCTCATGGTATAGCTACTCCCATTACTGTTCCTGAGGGGTTTATCTGTCCTGGATTCCGTGTGTCGAGAGCTCTTATCGGTACCAGTGTACATGCTCGGGTCTAGCCAGATTGGTAAGGCAGAACTGGGGTCATGACAGTGGGGGGAGGAAGCATTAAAGACCTAGGGAATGATGTGTGTTCTCTGGGAGCTATGCTGCATCCCGGAGGCCTCCTTCGTAACCGAGCTGTGTTACCTTGGAGACGAGGCTGGCCCGGTAGGCTGCCAGAGCCTTCAGATACTCCTTCTTAGCAGCTTCAGTCTTCCTCTTGTAGGCCTGGAAGATCCAAGAAGGGGTGACATTGGGGAGCGGATCGCACAGAGGCCTGGGGTAGGGGCAGGAGCAGTCCTCAGAGTGCGGATTTGAGAGGCAGACCTGAGTGAGGGGTGGCGGGATTCAGAGTTGGACAGTGGCCTGGGGGCCATGGGGCAGCACTGCCCAGGGTGTCTGGAGAACAGACTGGCTCCCAGCTCCTCAGTGTCTCAGCTGTGCTCCCTGGGCAACATGCTTTTTGTCCCTGGGTCTCCAGGCCACTGTATCTGGCTACAGAAAGTCAAGGCCCCTCGGAGACCCGTGATGATGATGTAGCAAAATGTAGATTTTCCAATGTTGACTCATCCTAGGATGAACCCGACCAGGCCAGGGCATATGAGTCTGGATCCAATTGGCTAATGGCTTTTGTAGGATTTCATACCCAGGTTCATATGGGTGGTGGATGGAGTGCAGGAGTGTCCCCAATCTGTTTACACCTCTCTTTTGGCACAGCCTTCCCACAGTGTCCCTGGGCTTGACCTGGACTGGCTTTGGCGAACGAACGGCAAATGTGCTGCGAGTGGAAGAAGCTAGACAAGGCTGCTGGCTCTCTGGCTGCTTCTGGAACTCTGAGTGGTGATGTACACAAGCCAGAGCCAGTATGCTGGTGGCAGGACACACATTAGCCATCCAACTCCCAACAGCAGAGCCACCACATGGCTGAGTGCAGACATGTGAATGAGCACAGATGAGACCAGCACAAGGGGCAGATGAGGGTTCCAGAGCTGAATCAATGGCTGTTTGAAGCCACCAAGTTTGGGAGTTGCTTGCTACCCACGCAGAGTGAACAAATTTGGAGTTAGCAGACCCACCCTCAAGTGTTGTCACTTAGGCCCAAACTGTCCTACACTAGCTCAAAGGGTTCTCCAGAGGGACTTCCTTCCAGTTGTCCCCAGCAGTACCGCCTGTTGGCTACCCTGGTGGCACAGTGGGTTATCCATTGGCTGTTAACCACTAGGTCGGCAGTTTGAACTCACCAGCTGCTCCTTGGGAGAAAGATGGGGCTTTCCATTACCATAATGAGTTACCGTCCCACAAAACCCACAGGGGTGGTTCTACCCTCTCCTGTAGACTCTCTGTGCTTCAGCAGCAACTCGATGGCAGTGGGTTTGGTTTGGTTTGATTGACTGCCTTCCCTTCACTATCTCACTTCCCCACTTCCCTGCCAGCAGATCCTATTTGGGGGTCACCTCCCCCCAAAACTACAGACACTGGCAAATTTTCCAAACATGATCTGAAACTCCAGGAGGCATTTCAAATAAGTAAAGAGAAGTTTGATGAGTCAATAATCTATGTCTCTGGCCCTAAACTTCCTACTTCTCCCATTAATGGCATCTCCATTCACCCAGAATTCGAGCCAAGGATGAGTCTTCCTTGACAGGCTCCTCATCGTCAACCCCACTCATCTGGTCCAGGCCTCCGGGGTCTCTCAGCCACATCCACTTTTACTGGCTCTGGGCTGCCAGACTGACCTCGCCCCAGCTTAAAACTCTTCCGCGATTTCCTCTGGGCTGTGAGCACACAGTCAGCTCCCCACAAGGCCCACAGGCCCAGCCTGGTGTGGCCCGTGCCTACCTCTCCAGCTGCGTCTAGTCATAGTGACTGCATTTCACCCCCATCAGCTAGTCCCCACGCAGTCCTGGGTACTGGCCACGCTCCACCGCATCACCAGGCCTTTCGGACATGGCTTCCCAGGCCCAGGGTAACTCCGCCTTCAGTCTCACCTGCCCACCTGATGCCAGGACGATGCACTGTCCACCCCCCTCCTCTGACCCTCATGCATCATGCACCACCTGGCCTTCAGCACAATCACAATCCTAGTTTTGATTACGGTCTCTTCTGCCAATACTCCAACTGAGCTTCCCTGCTTTACAGATCTGAGTTCAAATCCCGACTCTGCCCTGACCACGGGCGAGTTACCTAGCCTTTCAGTGACCCCGTCTCCTCCTGTGAAGTAGGAGCACATGGCCACTCCACAGTGGCTGTGAGGACTGTGTGAGAGGACAGAGCAGCTTGGCACAGCACCACACAAAGATCGGTCACCACTATCCCATTCTGCAGATAAGGAAACTGAGCTCAGGTCGGTAGGGAGAGCTGCCTGAGGTCACACAGCTGGTTAGCCTGCTAACAGATGAGCTAGTTCCCTCCTCCCCATGGAGGCCTCTAGGTCAGGGACCTAGGGCTCTGGCCAGGGCTGCGAACATTCAGAGCTGGGGGCAGGGGTTAGGGGCACGGGACAAGATGGGGTGAGCAGCAGAGGCTCAGGATGGTGATGTCACAAGCATACACAGGCGGTAAGTGGAACCGGGAGGAGCCTGGCTTCCCAGCATACAGATGGACCATGTTGAGCCCAGGGGGCGCGCCTGCCAGAATCACAGGCTCTACAGGCTGGGCCGGGCACTGGACAGTCCTGGTCTGTCTTTGGCTGCAGGTCCTCAGCACCTTGGGGACGGCCCGGAACTCACCTGCTTCTGCTCCTCTCCCAAGCTGTCCCACATGGAGGCCACGATCTTGGACACGTCGCCGAAGGTGGCGCTGGGGTTCTGCCCCTTGATGGCAGCCTGGGTGTCCCTGAAGAAGAGAGCGTAAGCCGACACCGGCTTCTGGGGCTCGTTGGGATCCTTCTTCTTCTTCTTCTTCGGGTTCTTGGCCTTTTTCCCCGCGTCAGCTGAGGGCCTCTTCTCTCCTGAGATCTGTCCGGGTGAGAGGAGTTACCACACCCCAGAAGACCAAGGGCCTCCTGCCAAGGCGGATGCCACCTACCCTCGGCCGGAGCCGGACCTCGCTCAGGGTCCCACGTGTGGCCAGTGACAGGGAGCTGGCCGCGGTCAGGAGAGCCGGCCCTCCGAGAATGGGCTGAGCTGTCAGACTCACCACCTGCCGGGGTGGGGGGTGGGGGTGGGGGAGGCAAGGCAACTGACCCCTGCCCAGGGTTGAGGACACACACACACACACACACCCTGTGCGAGGCCCCTGGGTTTCTGTTTAACTCATTCATGAGAGAATCGGCAGGGTGGCAGAGCGGGCTCAGAGAAACACAGGGCAAAGGAGGATCCATCCGGGCACTGAGAGCACAAGTAAAACTGGCCAACACCCAACCTATCAGTAAAACCCAAACCTCTGGGTTTCGTTTAGTTTTTCACTCGCTTCCGCTGGACGGGCGTCATTCGCAGCTCAATTGGGAGGAGAACTGCGTGCCCGGTCAGCAGACAAAAGCATGCGCAGCGGCACTGCTCTGTCCCAAGTTAACACCTACTTTGGCCAAGTTGTAAAGCAGACTCATCAACAAGGAGTCATGAATGCAAACAAAGGGGCCATCCCCCACAGACTCAGATTCCTCCAAGTTTGCTCGGATCGCTCGTCTTTTCTAGAGGTGCCCATCTCCACAGAGGCCCACGGCCCTGAGCCCGGGAGGGCCACGCTCCACCCACGTACCTTGAAATGTGCCTCCGATTCTTCCTCTTGGGTGGAGCTGGAGGGAGAGGGGGTAGCTGACTTGCTCCCTGGGGGAGACGGGGAGCCATGGGTGATGCCACTGCGGATGCCCATCTGAGAAATGAGCTGCGACTGGCTGAGCGCACTCATGTGACTGGCCAGCATCCCCGGGCGGCCCAGCAGCGTCCCTGGTCGGCCCGAGTCGTAGGCAGCAACCTCTGAGTGGACCATCTCCTGGATCTGAGAGAGGACAAGGGCATTTGGAGTTAGCAGGCTCTGTTCCCCATCAAGTCTGCGTTTTGAGCCTGGGAGGAAGGGGCACGTAGGTGAGACGTCGAGGGGCGCTCTGGGCTGTCAACTCCCCAGGGCAGAATGGTCGATCATTCCGCTTGGGTCCCTGGCTGAGTGGGCTCATCTGTGGGGGCTCTGCAACTCGACTGCTTGGCACGTTGTGGACATTCATCCTAGACCAAAGGCCAGTGTTTCTTCCCTGGCCAGAAAGCCCTGTCCAGCCGTGGACTAACCCCTTCTTGACACCGACCCTTCGATTTCCACATCTACTCATCACGGCACCCATCCACAAGGGCCAAGCATCTGAGTGGTAGTGCCTGCTGAATCCTGCCCTGCCATTTATCGCTGGAACGGCTCTGACACACGGTCGCTTATCATCAGCAACGAAAACACAGCAAAATAAACACATGGTCGTTGTAGTCCGTTCCAACTCGTGACCCCCTCTGTGTGCTCTACGGGGGTCTCAAAGGCCCATTTCTCTGGAGATGGTCAGGCCTTGCACCCCACGCACTTCGGGGTGGACTCGCGAATCTTTTGGTTAGCAGCCTAGTGTACTGTGTTCGCCATCGGCACCTCTCTGAGTCTCCACCTGGAACCTCCACCCCAACGTTTTGAATGAAGATCTGATGCCTAAGTAAATCTAGCCCTTGATAAAGTGCAACCTTTTTCTTCCCATAGGTTGGTCATTTTCTTATCCACTCTACCCCCCAGCACCGTTTCTAACCGGTTCGTTTTAGAATATCAGACAGCTACTGATTTTCGCCTATAGATATACTCAGAAAGCACACGCATTGAGCACGGTATGCCCTTTTAACCTAATCATGCCTATGCACGCCCTGTTCAGAGAAGTACAGCACACAACACTCTCACAATGACTGCCTTTGCGTCTGTGTGCTTCTCGTCTGCCCCTCTTCCTGATCTGAAAGGCTTTGGGTCTGTCTTTACTTGAGAAGCGAGTGGCTCTTCTGGGGTGTGGGTCAATACTGAAAACACGGCAGACTGCCAAAGGAACAAGCAGACCTGTCTTCAAAAGCACTGCCAGGATGCTCCTTAGAAGCAAGTGTGGTGAGCCTTCATCTGACATACGCTGGACATGTCGTCGTGAGCGACCAGCCCTGGAGGAGGACAGTAAGAATGCTTGGTGACGTTCAAAGTCAGTGAAGAAAGAGGAGTACCCTTGACAAGATGGATGGAGACAGTAGCGGCAGCCATGGGCTCCCAGCTGGGAGCTGGGAGCTGGGAGGACAGGGCAGGGCTGGACAGTGCTTCGTTCTGTAGGACAAGGGTCACTGTTCAGAACGGACCCTCACCACAACATCAACCACGGCTCTTCTGTTTTGCTCTGCAGGTTGGTTGTGTAAGAATCAACTCTTAAATTGATCATGTCTCCCTCCTCTCTGTTTTCTAATTCTGTAATATCTTGTTGTTTGTTTCTTAAGAGCTTGAGCTTTATTTTTATATCGATTTCAAAAATATTTCATCTATCTTCATTAATCTTTCTTCTTCTTGAAACTTGACTCTTCTTACTCCCCCCTCAATCTTGAGTTGCTTGTTGGATTCATTCTTAGTTCTTGGCAATGCCCTTCATACGATGACTGCACACCCGAGGATGACAACATTCTCATAGATGTCATCGTTAGGGTGGCCTGTGGTTTATTTTTATTTTCCTTTCAGATCCAAGAATTGTTTTGAGAAGAGTTCTTGAAACTTCTAAGAGATGAATTTATCTGTTGTCTCTGTTTTGAACGTTATTTCTAGAAACAAGAGCGATCGAGGACATGGTCTTTGTTATGCACCCTTTTTGAGATAGTGTACGCATGGTCAACACCTGAGCACAATCACTGTCCTGTCTTCAAACGGAAACTTCCCTTAGGCCGCCATAAAACTCGTCTCTGTACAAACGTCCTTTGCCACGGTCTCTTGCTGCTCTCTTCCCAGCAACACACCTGTCATCTGTCCTCGTTGCTGTGTCTAGCACGTTCATCATTGCGGTGGCTACACAATCTCCGTCAACTCCAGGGTATTAAGAGCGAAGGGGTGGAGTTGAGCCTGTCTGTCAGGTCACAGCTTTCCTATTTACTCAACTCTGGCCTTTTGTCAGTGACCAGTTGTCTAGTTGGGTGGAGTTACATCTGGATTCTCAAGTCTGTTCCATTGGTCTAAATGTCTGTCAGTTATATCCCTGGCTGGGTTTATTTTTCAATATTTTGTCTCTTAAGGGTACCATTGTAAATGGTACAAGGGCCGTGAAAAAGAGGAAGACCTTCAAGGAAATGGTCCCATCAGTGGCTGTACCAACGGGCTCAAATATAAGAACGACTGTGAGGATGGACAACTGTGAGGATGGACAGACTGTGCAGTACACTGTTCTGTTGGTCACAGGGTCAGCATGAGTTGAACTGACTTGTGGGTACATAGCAACAAGTGCAAATGGTATTATTTTCCTGATTTCCTTTCAAAGCTCTCTGCAGGTGTAGCGGGATCGGATCTTGCATCCTGTCAATCTGCTGAATCCTTCTCTTAGTTCCAGTGGCTTTCTGGTATATTTGGCATTGCCTCTATATAGGATCATGTCAGACGTGAACAGGGATAGCTTGATTTCTTCCTTAGCAATTTAGAATGCCTCTTATTTTTTTTTCTTGTCATATTGCTCCAGCGAGGACATCCAACGATGTTGAATAAGAGTAGCGATAAACAGCCGCTTCGGCTGATTCCTATTTTTACAGAGAATGTTTTCAGTCTCTCTCCATTGAGAAAAATATCAGCTGTTGGTTTTGTATAAACGTCCTTTATTATTTGATTGATTTCCCTGCTAGCCATGTTTGCCTAGAGTTTTTGTTGTTGTTTTTAATCAGGAATGGATGGCAGACTTTACGCCTCTTCTGTGTGCAGATGTACGTGGGACTCCTTTGTTCTACTATGTGTAGACTATGCCGATTGCTTTTCTGATGTGGGGCCGTCCTTGCCTATCTAGTATGAATGAATTCCAATTGATCATGATGGTTTTGGTTTGTTTCTGATATGCTGTTGAATAATAATGGTTAGAATTTTGTTGATGATTTTTGCATCTGTATGCCTGAGGAATATCTGTCTGTCATTTTCTTTTTTCCTTACCTGGCTATGGAATCAGGTTCATGCTGGATTCACAGGATACATTTAGGAGTATTCCTTCCTTTCTCAGCTTTGAAAGAATTTGAGTAGCATAGCATGAGCTCTTTTCTGAATATTTGGTAGAATTCTAGGGTGAAGTGGCCCAGACCTGGACTCTTTGTGTGTTGTTGCTGGGAATTGGTTAGTACTTCTTGAAGAGCTTCTTTTATTAACTGTGTTTTCCCCACACCCGCTTATGTTAGTTTAGGAAAGGTAGTGTGATTCTAGAGACCTGTCCGTTTCCTCTAGGCTTTCAGATTTGTTGAAGTGCCATTTTTCATAGTCGTCTGTTATGACCATCTTTAATTTCAGTTGGTTCGGTGATAAGTTACTTATTTCTCAGTTTGGCTATTTGCTCCTTTTCCCGATTTTCTTTTGTCAATTCGGCCAAAAGTGGATTGATTTTATTGATCCTTTCAAGGAAACAACTTCTGGGTTTGGTGATTCTTCCTGTTGTCGTTTTAAACTTGTTTTTGCTTTAATCTTTATTTCCTTTGTCTGGTGGCTGTGTTTCTTTTGCTGTTCTTTCTACGTTTTTGAGTTGCAGGATTAAGGCTTGAATTCTCTCTCTTTCCGTGTGTGTGTGTGTGTGTGTGTGTGTGTGTGTGAACTTATGGCTAAGATTGACCTCGGAGCATTTGGTGTGTTGTGTTTTCATCCTCAAAATATTTTAAATTCCATCTTTGATTTTTTTATTACCCAGTGGTTTGTAAGCAAGACGACATTCAGTTCCCAGGTATCTGATTCCCCATGCCTACCCACCTTGATCTTCCTGCTACGGTGTTCCTGCCTTCTACAGTGTTGCGATCAGAGAAAATGCTTTTGGTTATTTCAATGTTTTGGATTTTACTGATGAATGCTTTGTGGCCTAAAATATACTCCTTTCTAGAGACTGATCCGTGTGCATTGAAAAGGAATGTATGTTTCGCGGTTGCTGTGGGGAGTGTTCTGTATATGTCTATGAGATCTGGTTGGTTGTGGCATTTAGATATCCTGTTATTATTATATATTTTTTGAGTTTCTACTTCTATCCTTCACCCAGAGTGGTCTGTTGAAGTCTCTATTATTGTAGAACTATCTGTTTCTCTCTTTAATGCTGTTTGTTTTGTGTATTTTATTAAGGTATGTCCTCTTGTGAGTTGACCTTTTAATAAGTGTATAATGTTCTTACAAGTCATGGTGGATTAAGTTTTAAAGTCTATTTTATCAGCGATCAATATTGCTACTTGGTTATTGTTTGCTTGATATATTTTCCATCCTTTGTGTTTTAGTTTATTTCTGTCTTTGTGTCTAAGATGTATCCTAATGTACAATATATTGACAGGTCTTTTTTTTTTCTTTCAAAAAAATCAATTCTGCCATTCTTTTTCTCTTTACTGGTACATTTAATTGATTTCAGTTGAGTATGGACAGGAATGAATTTACTGTTATCATTTTGTGGTGCTTTTTGTGTGTGGGATGTTGACAGGGGATTGTTTTTATTATGTTTACTTTTCTGTGTTGAGCTCTTTTGTTTACAGATTTTTCTTTCATTGTTGATGTTTTGTTTACGGAATCTTTGCATCATTTTTTGTCTTTATTTTGGTGAGTCTATTTCTTAACGTTCTGCATAGTTGCTTTGAAATTTACCTTTATCTTCTGAAGCTGAAAGCCGTCTTCCTTTCCTTGCTATGGTAGTGAAGTCCTTTCCACAGGCACGTTCTATATGCCATCTATTTCCCCATTTTGTTTGGACAGAAGCACGCTGATACAGTGTGCTACGCGTTGGGCTGCTGACTGCAAGGTCAGCCTTTTGGAAC